CCCCCCCCCCCCTTCCTTGGATTGTCAATAGCCCTTCTTGAGGAAATAGTAGTAGAGCTTGCATGCCACGTTGGAAGACATCCACACTCAATTGAACGGTAAGTGGCATAGAAAGAAGAGCTCCGTGTGTCCGTCGATTAGAGAAATCGACACGTGTCAACAAGCAACTTAAAGCAGGAGCTTGCTAATATTGGAACCCCCTGGGCGTCACATATGTGACGAACCACTTTCAATAGCGCGCAACTTTCTGCGCAGCTACGTTGAGGGGTCCTAAGTTGGGAAGGTTGGGCCAATTACGGGAGATCGGGATCGGTGGGAAATTGCATCAGTGTCCTTTCTTTTTCGTCTTTTTTGTCGCTTCTTTTCGAATGGCTGGGTTCGGAGCCGGGTGGGTCCTAGGATGGCAGGTTGATTGATTGGTTGACCGAATGGCTGGCGCGCCACCGTGCGCGCGATTGATAAATGTTGACGTCGTTTCTTTTGTTTCGGTTCCAAACTTTTGGGCGCGGACATCGCGCGGGAATTTGCTTCGTTCTTTTTGGATTCTTCTTTTAAATCTTTTTCGAATTTTGTCGAGCCCCGATGACTCTCGAAAATTCGGACTTTTCTTTTGGAATTTGTGCTTTTTGCTTCTTCGCATTAGACAGGAATTTAGGAATTTCGTAATTAGGATTTTCCTTGCCGTGCGACGCTTTTTGTCTACGCGCTTCTTCATGCGGCTGCAACGGAACTCTGATTAGTAGGCGCCTTTAATCGTGTGTGTAACCGTAATTTTGGGCGGGCGCCATTGTAACTGTATCTTTCTTCTTGGGCTTCGTCTTTCCCGCCCTTCTTCTCTTTCTTTTGCTGCGTTTTTGGTAGCCGCGGTCTGCATGATCGGATCGATGTGTGGAGAGCGGCTACGTCCCCCACACCGCGATCAGGTCATGCAGACGTAGGCAATCCTTCCTCCCTTGTCCCTCCTAAGTCTTTGTAATTCCGTGTTTTTCGCGCATGCATGCACGCTGTAAATTTCGGCTGCGCGATTAGTTAACTCTCTTAACCAGCTGTTGGAAGCTCGGGGTTGCACGATCAGAGAGGGTCGACACACAAGCAAAGTAAGAGGTGAGTAGAGCAGGAGTTGGGCGACCCGACGAGCTGGTGCCAAACGCGTGGGGTTGACGTGGGCCACGGCGGACTCTGGGCACGGGCGAACCTGACGGGTGCGGGAGAACTAAGCGGGGTGACGGCGTCGTGGGTTGGTGCTCGACGACGGACTGTCCGCATCGGAGAAGAAGAGCGAGGGAGAGAGAGATGAGGTTGATGAACGTGGAGTTGCTGTTCTTTCATCTTTTCTCCCCCCCCCCCTATCTCGTGTATATAAATTTTGATTTCGGCTCTAGGCGATCTGCCCGTTTTCTGTTTCTCAGAATCTGGGCTTGGGTTTTTGCTCACATTTGCCCTCGCGATTCTTCCACCTCTGATGTGTTATGTGTATGATTACTGAATGGATGGATGTATGGATGCCATGTTTGATTGCCTATCTTTTTGCTGGGAACCCTTGTCTTTGCTTTTGTTTGTCGCATTCGATGCACTCGTGTGTAGAATAGGAATTTTGCGCAATCGAGAATCCCGTCCTTGTCTTTGCTTGTCTTTTGATCGAGCTGATTGTGATCGTTGCATCTTGCATGCTCAGAACAACACGGAGTGATTAGACGATCGGATGCCGGGCTTGGCGAACACAGCGCGAGGACACGTGTAAAACGCGATCTGAGTTGCGCACTTACACGTATCCTCGGGCGTCGACTCGTCAGGACCATCGATCGCAGATGCCTTGTCCGATTGGGAGTAGCCATCCCGGAATCCGCAATGGCGCAGTCGTCCCGCACGAGCACACGTAAGTCCGACGCCATTCGCGTGGCCTGCACGTGTTCGCACGCGGCAATCGAGATCGCCGTGGACCCACCCTTAGGCAACTCATAATACCGCAATGACACAATGACGCGATCTTGGAATTCCGACTCATCATACGACCCAGATTACTTCAACCCTTGGATAAACGAAATCCTGAGACAGAGATATCCCTGCCATACTGAGAACCGACTGACAGTGTGTCCTCGGGAATTCCACTGCGCCACCACTAACGACCCCCGGTGCTCTGATTTCCCTTCTCCGGACCATACCTACTACTTCATCCACCCCGGATTTGTTGTTATCACCACCAGTTTCCCTCCCTTTCGCCTTCTTCTTCCGTATCATCAACTCAGCGTCGTCCCGTGGCCGGCCATAGCCCCCATCACACCCTGCGGGAACTGCCGACGACGTGGCGATCAGAGAACCCCGGAGTTCCGGAGGCCTAACCCGAACGCACGACGACCAGCGCCACGTGGCAACTCCCGACAACCTGACTCATCGGAACCCCACCTACCCCAAGGGAACCCGCCCGTGAACCGCCGTCCCTGAAACCAATGGCTCGCTCGGTCTTGAGCGACCCGCGCATATCATCTGCCTTGTAACCCAAAGCGATCCGCCCTCTCCGCCAAATTGCACTCGTGCCCCCGAAGACCCTGTCACAGGAGATCTCAGTTCTGACCTGGGACTCCACTTTCCCAAAAAATCATTGGCACACCCCTTTCCGCACTTCCAGGCCCACATCCTACTCCGATCAGGAAGTCGCCGGGCGTGAGGTTGGGGCGTCACAGTAGTGGAAAATGAGAATGAATAGTCCAGCTAAATATGCGAAGATACACAGCAGTCGAACCCCTCACCAACGCATGTGGTGAGTGGCGAAGCCAGGTCCATCCAGCTGAACGGCCTCACTGTTTGTTGGGATGCGCGGTCATAGAAGGTGCATGTACTCGTATGCCATGGCGGGTTTCCATAGCCGTAGTTGATGTCGTGCAATGGAGTAATGTTCACAGTGTTCGTGGGGATATGCTGTTTACTGTCTTTTTGCTCGTTTGTGGTTAGGTTCGGTAGCCATTG